TGGCACATGCCTGTAGGCCCAGCACTGGGGAGGTTGAAACAGGAGGATCACTAGAAGTCTGAGGTGTATAGTGAAACCCTGTACAAAATACATTTAAAAAATAGTGTTAAAGGCAGGGGAGATAGCTCAGTAGGATAAGCGCTTGCCTGACAAGCACAAGGTCCTGAGTTCAATCCCCGGTACTGCAAAAAGAAAAAAAAATAGTGTTAAAACAAATTACAAGCAATGCACAATTTCACTTAACAAAGTAAGATGAATTTCCCAGTATTTGTTGTAATGCATAGCATTGTCTCTCAATGAGGTATTCATATCTATGTCTTTAATTCTTTCAGGAAGATACCTAGAAGGAGAATAGCTGGGTTGAGTGGATTTTTTTTTTTTTTTTGCATTTTCAGGAATCTATACTGATTTCTATAGTGGTTGTATTAGTTTATATTCCTACCAACAGTGTAGAAGAGCTCTTCTTTCCTTATCCTCACTAACATTTGTTGAATTCTTGATGATAGTCATTCTTTCTGGAAGAAGGTGGAACCCCACTGTTGTTTTCATTTACATTTCTCCAGTGGCCAGAGATGGTGCTAATTTTGTCTGCCTATTGGCTATTTGTACTTTTTATTTTGAGAAATGTCTTCATTTCAATTGCCCAGTTTTAAATTTTTATTTTACTTTTTATTTTAGCCTTTTTTTTGTGGTACCATGGATCGAACTCAGGACCCTGTACTTGGCCAGGCAAGCGCTTATTCTACTGCGCTATCTCCCCAGCCCTTACTTTTTATTTTAAAGAGAGAAAGATAAAAAAGGAATAACAATGATAGAATTTCAAAACAGGATAATAAGAATTAGCAATGGTTAATGTATTGCATATTGTTGTCTTCACAGTAGTTGCTCACATTACAACATGTGGGCATGCAAAATTAATCAGCCAATATATGCACAAACAAATCTTTTCAGTGGACTAAAAGAAATGAGTAGTATAGTTTTGTTAGCTATCTTTTTTTAAATTTATTTATTTATGTGTGTGTGTGTGTGTGTGTGTGTGTGGCCAGCTCAGCCCACCAGGGGGCGGGGCTGGCTGGTATGTGGTGCTGGGGGATTGAACCGCGGTCCCTATGCTTTGCTAAGCTTGTTCTAAGTAGGTGCTTTAGACCACTGAGCCATCTCACCAGCCCCTTTGTTAGCTATCTTGTGTTTATATATATATATTGTTTTTCTTTTTGCTTTCTTTCTTTCCCTTCTTTTCTCCTTTACCCAATCCCATTTGTTCTTTCCTTTTGAGCAGTTTCTTTCCCTTTTGAAATGCCCATTTTTAATTGAGTCTTTTTTGTATGGGAGTATATTCAATTTTTTTTTACTTTATATATTCTAGATATCAGTGTTCTGTCTCAGAAGTAGCTGAACATTTTTTTCTTTTCTGTAAATTGCCTCTTCACTTTGATTATTTTCTTTGCATTCTATTTGTAAGGATCTTGTTGAGAATTTTTGCATCTATTTTCATTAAATAAATTGGCCTCCAGTATTTTGTTGTTGTTTGTCTGGTTTTAGTATCAACATAACATTAGCATCAAGAAATGAATTTGGGAGTTTTTCTTGCCTTTTTATTTCACAGAAGATTTTGAAGAGTATTAGCATTGCTTTTTTCCTGAACTTCGCGTACATTTTAGTGGTAAGTTCTTTGGATCCTGGGATTTTCTTTGTTGATAAGGTTTGTGTTACTTCTTCAATTTCATTGTCCATTATTGATCTATTCAGGGTTTTTCTATCATCCTATTTTTTTATTTATGTATTTATTTATTTGTTTAGTGGAGCCAGGGATTGGACCTTGCACTTGCCAGGGAAGTGCTTATTCTATTGAGCCATCTCCCCGGCCCCATCTTAGTTTAATTTTGATAATTCATATGTATATAGGAATTTATCTATTTCTTCTAGAGTCTTCTGTTTATTGAAATATAAGTTTTCAAAATATTTTCTTCTAATCTTCTGCATTTTGGCAGTGATTATGATTTCATCTTTTTCATTTCTAATTTTATTAATGAATCTTTTCCTTTTTTTGGTGAGATTTGCCAATCTTATTTATGATTTAAAGGGATTGTTTGATTCATTGCTCTTGTATATATTTTAGTCTCAATTTCATTAATTTCTTCTCTAATCTTATAATTTCTTTTCTTGTAAAAATTTTGGATTTGTATTGCTTTTGTTTTTGTAGGACCATAACTTGCACTATTAGATTTCTTAGGGAGGAATCACTCTATTTTTTTCTTTTTCTATTTTTCTAATGTGGCTATTCATAGCTAAAAACTTCCCTTTTAGAACTGCTTTTATTGTCTCCCATAGGTTTTGGTATGTTGTCTTACTATTGTTTGATTCTAGAAAGTTTTAAATTTCTCCCTTAACTGCTGTTGTGCTCCTTTGATTTTTCAAGGCTGTATTTACTCTCCATGTGTGATAATAGTTTTTGTTGCTGTTGATTTCTAGTTTCATTTTTCCATGATCAGGTAGGATACAGGAAATTATGTCAGTTCTTTTGCATTTATATAAGTGTGCTATGTGGCATAAGATGTGGTCTGTTTTGGAAAACAGAAGAAAACATTTTTTTTCTGTCACTGTTGGGTCAAACACTCCATAGATATCACTTGTTTGATGGTGTGGTTCAACTCTGGATATTTCTTTGTTGACTTTTTTTGTCTAGTTGATCTATTTGATAGAATGGGTTGATGAAGTCTCTATTTTTTCTATCTCTTCTTTTATTTCCAGTGGTTACTATTTTATGAAATTGGGTGTTCCAACATTTGGCACATACATATTCACAATTATCTTCCCCTCCTATTGAACTTCCCTTTATCAGTTTGCAGTGACTTTCTTTGTCTCTCTAATCTGTTTTAGGTTGCCATATTTTTGTCTGAAAATAGAATACAGAAAATATACTTTTTTTTGACTACTGTTGCAAGGGATATGATTTCTATCAGTTCACTTTCTTTTATTTAAATGTATGTGTTTGGTACAGGGTCCCATTATGCAACTCAGACTCATAGTGATCCTCTTGTTTTCAGCCTTCCCAGCACTAGAATTACAGGCATGTGCCACCACTCCTGGACTTGCTGGCCAGCTCAGAATACCTGGGGGTGGTTTCAGCACAGCATGTTGTACCAAGGATTGAACCTGTAAACTTTCAAATTGTAGGCTCTCCTGTGGATGCAGTATTTCTCTTGAAAGCAATATGTAGTTGTGTTTTGTTTTTTTCATCCAGTCTGCTGGTCTGTTTCTTCATTAGGGAGTACTAACATTTATATTGGGAGTTACTATTGAAAGGTAATTACTGAATCCTCTCATTGAATTAAATTTTAGGGCTGATTCCTGCATTTTTTTCCCCTTTAGTACCCGAGTTAGACATATACTTTCCTTTGGGCCTCATTTTCTTCTGTCTAGGATTCCTTTGAATACTTTTTGTAGTACTGGTTTTGTGGTCATTAATGTCTTTCTGTTCTCTTTGTTGTGAAAAATATTTTGCCATAAATTTTGGAAGATAATTTTGCAGGATATAGTAACTTGGGTTGGCTTTTTTTCTCTTTTAGGGCTTGAAAAACAAGATCACTGGTCTTTATGGTTTGTGTTTAGAAATCTGTTGTTATGCTGATAAACGTGGCCTTATAAGTTACTTGATGTTTTTCCCTAACAACTTTTAGTTTTCTGTTTGTGTTGAATTTCTAGAAGTTTGACTATGATGTGTTGAGATGTAGTTCTTTATCATTATGTGTATTTGGGCTTCTATATGCCTCATTTACCTGGATACTCATTGCTTTCCCTACATTTGTAATCTTTTGTCCTATGATCTTGGTAAATAAATTTTCTTTTACGTTTAGTGTCATCTTCTAACCTTCCCTTTACACTTTAAAACTTTTAGTTGGTGTGTGTGTGTGTGTGTGTGTGTGTGTGTGTAATGTAGCAGCTATTCAATCCAGCTTTCATTGTGTCTTCATTTTAGGGCATCACTGAGTATATAATTTATTACATGAACCTTGTCTTCAGGTCTTGGAAGTCTGTCCTCATATCAGTCATATCTGCTGCCCATATTCTTTTTTTCTTGTTTTTAAATATCTTTTTTTTTGGAAATTTAGTACAGAGTCTACAGAGTCTCATTACACAGATCAGACTTGTAGTGATCCTCTTGTTTTTAGCCTCCCAAGCACTGGGAATACAGGCACATGCCACCATGCCCAGTCTCGTTCACTGTCTCAGTGCATCCCTGGGGTGGGGCCAGCATGGCATGCTGGGGATCAAACCTCCAGTCCCTGCATCTGCTAAAGCAGGTGCTTTAATTTTCTGAGCTATCTGGCCAGCCCTCATATTATTTTCAGTTGAGTTTTGTGTTCAGGATTTGGCTTGATTCCTTTTCATGATCTCTAATTCTTTACTAAAGGATCATGTGTATTTTACATTGTTTCCTCTAATTCAGTACCCTTCAGTTTTTGGTTGTGTATTCTTAAAGCTGGTTGAACATCTTTAATTTACATCTGTTTTAGCTCAGTGAACATTTTTTATATTGCAAACTCTTCTCACTCGATTCCTACCACTCCCCGAGAAGTGAACAGTTCCAGCCTCATGTTACAGTAAGGATGCTAAGGCCCAGATGGTGCTCTCCTCTAGTTAATGTGGCTCAGGGAAGTGGGTAGTGTGTCTAAGGTCTCCCAGGGAGTATGGTTTCCCAGACCATCTAGGACTGATGTTCCTGTCTTTTTTTATATTCTTGCTGCCACACTGAGGAGTGCCAGGTCTTGTGACTAGAAAATGCAGAGATATCTAAAGACTTACTGGTAGTTGGAATGATTGAGAAAATACCCAATTCCTTTAACTATTTTGATATTCACCTGGGAGATATTATATGTAATCCTGGTAGGCATCAGTTGGTAGACAGTATGAGTAGATATATAGCTTACGCTGTCACCTTTGTGTCAGTTGTCTTTCTTACTCCTTACACCCTTGTTGTCTTTCTTACTCCTCCACAGATCTATTCAGGTCCACCTGAGGAAAGTGCTGCAGCCCCAGTGCCTCCACCTCGAGTGGCAGCTAGAAGACACAAACCAATCACAATTTCAAAGCGTTTGCTGAGAGAAAGGACAATTTTCTATACTTCTTCCATGGATGAAAGTGAAGGTTAGTATTAAAGTTCAATCTTAGCTTCTAAATCAACATTAGGCATAAATAGGATTTTGAAGGAATGAAGTGAGATGTAGCCATGTTTCCCATACAACTGTAGACTTGTTTTAGTCCTGGACTTAAAAGCAGCCAAGAAAAGCAAGTCTTTCTTATAGTTTGTACCCAGCAAGTTCTTTGGCAGTGGACAGGATATGGATGAGTTTGAAAAGAAGTTAACATAATCCCTAACAGGACCAGTAGAGAATCCAAGATGTTCTTAGCTCTGAGCCTCCAGTACCCTGGAATATGTAAGCAATAGTCCTTTTGAATGTTCTGAGATTTTTAAATTCAAGTTCAGCTAATATAGATTAAGTGACTTCTATGTTCTGAGTACTAGGTAAAATTATAACATATTCCCTGGTTTTGAGGAGCTTCCAGGATAAAGAAGACATAGATATGTGAACAAATATGGAATAAATGCTAGTATGGAAATTATACCCATTCTTTGTGGGCCTTTGCCCCCTACTACTCCACTGAAACTACTTTTGTGAAGGCTGCCAATAATCTCTACGTGACCAAACCTAAAAATCATGCCACTGTTATCATCATACCCAGCTTGTGAGCAGCATTTGACACATTGCCTATCTTTTTTACTTGAAACATTGAACCTGGCTTTTAGAACAATAAACTCCCTTTTTACTTCACTACACATTCCATCTGTTTTCTCTACTGGTTTTCCTTCTTTGCCCAACTACTACATGTTGCAGGGGGCTAAAGATTAAAAAAACAACAACATGATATTTTTCTTCACGCTTTTCTCTCTTATTTTTCTATGTGATCTCAATATATGTCTTTTAAATGTCATTTGAGTGCTGAAGGTGATTTTCAAATGCCTATATGAAGGAGCTAGCAGCACCAATCACCTGATTGCTAAGGCCAAGAACTTCAGAATCATCCTTGATTAATCTTCCCTTACATATGGTTGATTAACACTTCCTGTCAACTCTTAACTGCACATTTCTCATGCTAAATAAATCTTTCTGTTTCCCATTACCATCCTGCTAACTGAGCCTCTGGCATCTCATCTCGTATCTTTGCTTGCCTTCTTGCCTACCTCCAGTCCATTCTCCACAACATCCTTCTGAAAATATTAAGGTGTGTTATTTACATGTACCAATTCCTATGAGGAATATGATCATTATGTCCTACAAATGTATACTAATAAAAAGTAAAAATTGAGCAAAAGCAAATATAAGTCACATCTTGTTATTCCCTCTGCTCTAAACTTTTAGTGAACTCTCTTCATGTCGAGGATATAATTTGCATTTTACACTGTATTATATAACACTTCTTATCTCTCTGGTCTTAGTTGATGTACTTCCCAGTTTTATCATCCCCTTTGTTCTCTCTGCTATAATCTCATTGGTCTTGATGTTACCGGTAAGTATCACGCTTGCCAAACAGCCTTTGCATTTGCTATTCTCTTGGTCCTAAATATTGCTCCTCTAGAACTTCACAAGGCTTACTCCTTCATTCAGCTCTTTGCCAAGTGCTATTTCCTTATGAACAGCTTCTCTGAGCACTATAGTTAAATGATTCTTTCTCCTCCTCCAATCACTGTCTCTCTACACACTGTTTTATTTTGTTCATGTCACCTGCTACAATCATTAACATACTTTTATCTGTCTTTGTAATAGAATATGAGATCTATTTTATCACCATTTCCTAGAAAATTCCTGCCATGCATTTATAGAATGACTGAAAAGATGTATAAGGGATGACAAAGAGAAATGGTTTACCTAGCTTAAAAGATTACTTTTCTGATAAAGGTTGCAAGGTGTCATTCAATAGCAAATGGAAGGGAATGCTGTGTACTGTGTTGTTTCAGAAACTCTCCTGCTTGCTCTCATTTTGTTTTGTCTTCGGCACTATTAGAGATTGGACTCAGAGCCTTCACACTGAGATACAACTCCATCACTTTTTTATTTTGAGACAAGGCCTAGATAAGTTGGCCAGGTAAGCTTGAGCTTGTGATCCTTCTGCTTTGGCTTTCCTGAGTGCCAAAATTACATATGTGTACCACCATGGCTGGCTAATAATAGCACTTTTATGGAGTAAGTTTATTTGTTTAAAGTATTCCCAAATATAAACTCTACTGGAAGAAACACTTTTTCTCACTGTGTTTTCAGCACCAGCGCAATAGTTGGTATATAGGAAGTTCTCAAAAATAAACATAATGAATGAATGAATGAACCAGGTGTCAGTAGATGTAAGGTCTAATTTCATTTTTGCCACTAGCCTGTTGGGTAACTTGAGCTAGCCACGTTTCCCCTCTGGGTCTCAGTGTGCTTCTCTGTATGACTTGTGCCAGAAGATCTCCAATGAATTCACCCAATATCAACATTTTAAAAAGCTTTTAAAAGACTGAAATATAATTCATATACCATAGGATTCACCCTTTGAAATTGTACAGCTGAGTAATTTTTCTACAAGCATCTTTTCCCACAACCTTTGTATTACTCCACAGAAACCCCTAATGTCCAATAACCTGCCTTCCCAGCCCCTGACAGTTACTAATCTGTTTGTCTGTAAATTTGAATAATTTGGATATTTATAGAAATGATATGTTTGTTATGTTTTCTTTTTGTGGTACTCTGGAATAAACTCTGGGCCTTCGCACTAATCTATATCCCCCATCCCTTTTTATTGTTTTTATTTTTTATTTTACTACATAGTCTCCTTAAATTGCTGACTTCCAAGGCTGCTCTCAAACTTGCAATCCTCTTCTAATGTATTCAAGGTTCATCCATGTTGATATCATTGCCACATAATAGCTGTGTATATGAGTATTCCATATTTTGTTTAACCATTCATCATTTGATGGAAATTGAGGGGTATTCACATTTTGGTTGCTATGAATAGTGCTCCAGTGAACATTCATATTCATGTGCACATGTTTGTATGAATGTTTGTTTTCATTTGTCCTCACTAAGTACTAGAACCTCTTTTCCATGGTCATTCTCTATTTTTGCTTTTTGAGACAGGATTTTGCCATGTCATTCAGGCTGGCCTTGAACTCACTGCAATCTTGCCTCAGGCTCCCAAGTGCTGGGAGAATAGGCATGCACCAACACACCCGGCAAGTCTTTCTATATTTAAATTTATATGGCAGGAGCAAAAATATACATTTATATAAACAAGGTGGTTAAGGCAGTGGTCCTAAGAAGCTCCATCAGGTTTTTGAAAATAGCAGGTAATGGGTATGGTTCTCACGCTGACTAACTCTATATGCTGATATCTGTGCCCTAAGCAACTAAACTGGGGATAGCAATACGTAATACTAAAACCATGTTTGAAATACTGCTTCTAATGTCATACCAATTATTGCTATACTCTCCTTTACAGTAAACTTTTTTTAAAGAAAAAAAGGTAATAAAAGAAAGCAAGACAAGAAAAAAAAAGTCATAGGATTGTCCTGCTACAATGCTGTATATGGTTTGATTTCTAAATTTCTATGTAAAAATGTGTAATTGTTTTTTTTTTTACATTCTATAGGGATTTAAAGTTTAGAATATCCATAGTTGTTGGAAAATAGCAGTTCCATGTTATGTCTAAGGCATTTGATATTTAGACAGATAGTGATGTTAAGCTTAACTGCCTCTGTTACAGGGTAATAATATCATTAAGCTTCTCTTCTGGATGTTTAACAGCTAAAGTTTGCAGACCAAAAATTAGAGAAAAAGAGGGGCTACAAGAATAGCCAATATTTTGGCCCTAGCCCTTCAAGGTCAGTGAAGAATCAGGACATAAGAGAACCTCTGCTGTGACATCTTGTAACTCAGTGGTGTTCCATATTTTCTGATCAAGGAGATTATGGGGCCTCAGTGGAAAGTGATTAGCGATGTATAGTGTGTCCAAAGAGAGTCACCTAGAGAGAAAAAAATTCTCACAGGCTTTCACAAAGAGCGAATTGGTCAAGCAATGGCCATGACTCATCCAGATGGCTGACACTGACAAAGTATCTACCAGGTGCTATACATGGTTTCAGGGTAAATCCTGAGGGGATTTGACTGACCTTGTCAGATACAAAAGTTACATTTTTACTTATATAGGTCTTGCTTTAACTTGGTCTTAACCATCCAGCAGAAAAGTGTAACCACAAGGTATAAAAGGTAATGCCATATTAATATACTGAGCTGTAAAAGGCTCAAGTCAACACCTTCAAACAATTGCCAGTTCTGCTGATAACCCGCTACTATTATGGACTATTGGACTTTATTGGGTTATTTTGCTGAATTCAAGTACCTACAGTATTTGAGCTGGCATCAACTATGAAAAGGTCCTTTAAAGACTTCTCCAAATACAGCTTCTCTAACAGCAATTTAACACCCATCTGACAAAGCAAAACAAAAAAGGGGGATATAAATAAAAGACCATTTTGTAGTGAAAAAAATACATGTATATACTGAGTTATATATGTATATGTACATACATATATGTATATACAAGATAGTTAGGATAGATATATAGCTCCCTTCTCTTAGTTCAATGAGAAGAAAGGTTATTTTCTAATATTGTTTAGACAAGATATCATGTCTGCATCTTGTCCTCTGAGTAACTTCTCCAAAGACAACAATATGCAATGTATTAATTATTGAAACTGTCCTACTAACCTGTTTTGAAACTGTTTCATTGCTAGTTTTTCTCACCAAAATGAATTAAAAAATTAAAAAAAATAAATTTATAAAAAATGTTTAAAGAATGGCCAGGCTCTTTTCAAAAGGAAATGTATCATTGTGCCTTCCCACAAGCAATGAATCACAGTTTTTGTTTCTCCATATCCTTGTTCACCTTGCTATAGTCTTGAGTTTTTGATTTTTGCCATCATAAGTAGGTATGAATTCATAGTCTCATTTAATCCTCAGCATTCCTGTGAGATAGGTGTGTGAGGCTCCATTTTATATTGAAGACACTGGAGGTCCAGAGAGGATGAGTACTTTACCCAATTAATACAACTTAAATGACAGAACAAGAATATGCACCCAATTATCTTGTCCCAAAGCTCATTTGCCTGTTATAATGTTGTATTTCCCAGAACCTGTCTCAACCCTGTTTTAAGAAGGCACCAGTCCTTCTACTCACCATTGTTCTTTACCTGCAGCACCTCATTGTCTTACTCCAAACATTGTGCTGTTTTAAAATATTACTTCAGGGGCTGGAGAGATGGCTCAGTGGTCTAAAGCACCTACTTGGAACAAGCTTGGCAAAGCACAGGGACCGCGGTTCGATCCTCCAGCACCACATGCCAGCCAGCTGCGCCCCCTGGTGGGCTGAGCTGGGGACACACACACACACACACACACACACACAATAAATAAATGTTAAAAAAAAATTAAAAAAAAATAAAATATTACTTCAGTGAATCTTTCCGCCACCCCCATGCATGCCTTCATGACCCCATATCTATGCTCTGGCCATTCTGTCTCATTAGCCTCTCTTAAATCTGTCTCTCTTTGCTGATGTTATTTCAGTTTGGATCTCTTTAGCATTCCTATAGCTGATTTTCCTACTTTCAGTCTGTGGTCCATTCTACTTTTCAAAATGAACCAATGTGCTATTCTAAAATCACGTATTTGACAACTATCTGTGATCAAAGATAGTTTGTATTCCTGACTGTGGCATTCATATAGCTTTAATGATAAAATCTCCAACTTATCTTAAAAAGCTCATCTCCAGCTACTCACACCTTTTGTGTCAAATATTCAAGCAAAATTAGACTTTTCATTTTTGTTTTTTTGACAAACCATGGTATTTCACTCTTCCAAGTTGTTCTTTATCTGAACAGCCTTCTTTCACTAATACCCACTACCTATCCCCCAACCCAACATCATGTCCTTTCATCTGGATAGTGCTGCTGAGCAAGCACTGTCCTTTCATCTGTAAATGTAGATATTTCAGTATGAATCACTCAAAGATAAAGACTCTTTTTAAAGTACAACTACAACATTCATCATACCAAAAAACAACACAATTCTTGAAGATCGATTATTTAGTTGATGTCCAAATTTTTCTATTATTTGATTAAAAAACAGGATCCAAGTACAATCCAGGTATTATAGTCTTTTGATTAACCCTCATGTCTTATTTTGCTGACCCGTACCCATGGTCTTAACCACTAAACTCTAGTCTAGATTTTTCTATTACCAAAGAAGGTGACAGTTTCCTTAGAGCAGGTGTAATTTGTCTGGGAGAGGGAAAATGGTCATTGACAGTTTCACGAGACTCAATGAATCACATTAAGATTAGCTTTCAAAACTTCGACTGTATTTGTATTTTGTATTTTTGAAAATGTATTTGGTACAGGGTCTCACTATGCAGCTCAGACTCGTCATGATCTTCCTGTTTTCAGCCTCCTCAGCACTGGGATTATAGACATGCACCACCATGCCCAGATGTGGTCACAAGTTTAGAGTGCCCCAGCATGGCATGTGCTTTAGGGGATCAAACCCTAGTCCCTGTGCTTGCCTAAGCAGGTGCTTAGTTCACTGAGCTATTTTGCCAGCCCTCAACTGTATTTGTATAGGCTAATATTTAAGGGAATGGTTCCTGGTTCTCATTAGAGTCTGAGAATTCTTAAGTTAGACTCAGATTCACTGACAAACATGTATTAATGTCAGAGGAAATTGTAGACTGCACAGGCCAGGGGAAGCACATAAAGTGGCCATTTGAGGATTTCTTTATGGGAGCATAAGAGAAGGAAGTTAAATTCTATTATGTTTATTAACTTGAAATTTGAGAGACTTTAGCAAATTACATTTGAAAGAAATAGGTACAAATTATCGGATTCCTTTATTTAACAAGAATGAAGTGTGCAATTCATTAGAGACTCTTAAGTCCCATCTGCATTGCATATCCCTTTGAATAAAACAGCCTGGCTTATTGAATTGTGATAGTGAAAATCATACTTGGATCTTGGATTGAATTCCTTATTTGAATGGAACCTGTTACTGCATATGAATTGGGAACAGTGAAGACTATAATCTTGTGGGATATAGTATATTTGTGCCACAGGGTGTAGCATTGTGAAAATGTTTATAGATTTTCAAAATTATATATATATAAGGACATATCAAAATGAAAAAGTTTTAGTCTATCATTAATATTCCCTTTTTGTACCAACTTTTCCAAGATGAGATCCACCATCAAACACCCAATGGTACTATTACTAGCAGCCTAGAACACCCTAAACTGCCACAACACCTCAAGCTGCCCCTACAGAGGAGTGCAGATGCTGATCCTGGGAGGAAGTCACCGAGCAGACCTGTTCCAGATGGCAAATTGGAACCTTGTCCTGAGGTGGATGTGGGGAAATTCGTGTCTAGGCTGCAGGATGGAGGGACCAAGGCTATCCCCAAAACCACCAATGGACCTGTGCCAGCCTCTGGGCCCATGAAGACACCGTCCTTGCATGTGAAGAGACAAGCTCCTCGGCCTCTTGCTCAGCACAAGGAAGGTAAGTGTTTGGGAGTTCCTCAGGCACTAGAACTGGAGCCACCTATTGATCACCTTGAGCTCCTTTTGGCTTTGGAAATATCTTTAAGTAGAAATCTCTTTCAGTGTACTAGTATTTATTCTGGAATGGTGTGTGAAACCATAAAAGCTGTTTACAATAGTTAATTAGAATGTAAGCTTTATTAGAGAAAGAATTTGGAGCCTGTTTTATTTTCTCTATATTCCCAGTGCCTAGAACAATACCTGGATAACACACAGTAAGCACTTTTTATTTGTGGAATTAATGATTGATACTGAGAATATTCTGGCTTCTATTTCCATTTATTAAATAACTTCTATGTGTCTAGCACTGTAATAGATTTTTTCATACTATTTCTTATTCTCATGACCCTACTGTATAAAATGTGTTGGGTTTTTTATTAGAAAATTTATTTATATCTGGTAATGAGCAGAGCTGGCATCTAAATTTTACCACATCTGGCAGGGGACAAAGTCTGTGTTCTTTCCACAAAGACCTATCACTTTACCTTCTGATAAGAAGTTTTGAATCTATAGATTATTACTTTCTTAATCTCATTTTTCAGTTTGGGAGAAGTAGGGACAAAAGGGTACAACAACTTCCCCAAAACTCCAGACTGCTGAAATTATTACAGATTTAAGTTGCTGAATTTCATTGGCTAAGTATAGGAAGGCACATCAAGAAGCTGTGGTTGATCCAGAGGGATGTTTTGGAGGATATAACTCTGAAGATAACGTAACATAATGGAAAGAATATGAGCTTGGGTCTCAGACAGGCTTCATTCCAAATTCTGACTTTCCTACTTTGTAGCTAGATAACATTCTAAACATATGTATTGTTTGTTTATATTCTGTCCTGTTCTAAAATAGATTGTGACATTTTGCAGTGTAGCCAAATGTAAAAACTTTAAAAATAACAATAGTTTGTTTTACAACTATATATTGAGCATTGAGTGTGTGCCTGGCCCTGTTCAGCACATAGGAATGAGAAAAACATGCAATGTGACTTGTGATTAAAATGTAGCTTGGCAAAGTATGGCCTGTGGCCTACACAGGGCCCACTGATTCTTATATAGTCCATAAGCTAAGAATATTTTTCTAAAATTTTTAAATGTTTGAGAAAAGATAAAAGGAAAAATGATGTTTCATGATACATGAAAATTAAAGTTCAAGTTTGTGTTAATAACATAAACACAGCATTCTTTAACATATCACCAAAGCTGCTTTCACACTACAGAAACAAAATGCAGTAGGAGCAACCTAAACCATACGGCCTGCAAAGCCTTAAATATCAGTGATATGACCTGCTACAAAAGCATTTGCCAACCCCTGCCTAAGAGTCTAGAATGCAAGTAGGAAACATGAGTCCTAGAAGTGAGTGAGAAAGGAGAAGATAGCAGGAAATTGGCAGGAATAAAGCTAGTATGCAAAATGTTTGCCATAAAGTCTTATATACTTGCTAGAAAACCACCAGAGTTGGTTCCAAAACAACTAATTTGAAGATAACATCATGCATTACAACAACCATTGTTGAGTTCTTATTACCTTGTTTAGTGAAATTTTGTATCATTTCTAATGCTTTTTTTTTTTTACTACTTTGTAGTTTAAAAAAAATAAGAAAAGTTTAAAAAGTTAGAGAAACCAAAAATTCTAAGTTCTTAGGGGAGAGCATGTTTATTGTTCAGGTAAAATACAACTCTTCTATTTTTGAGGCCAGGGGCAAATTTCAGCCATGGATTGTGACACATAATAATCTGAGCATGGGATGATGGCATTGTCTCTACACACAATTTATTAAAAAGTCTATTCGGTGTGAGATCCAGTAGAAATTCAATGAAGTAACTGACACTGGATTATCTGTCTTGATTCCCCTGATATAGCTATGTAATCACAGGTAATTAACATCTTTGTACACTGGTTTCCATATCTGTAAAATGAGAGAAACAACTTACACCACAGAGTTATTCCTGAGATTCAAAGAAATAATGAAATATCTGTCAGATACGCAGCAATCAAAATTTATTTATTCATAACCTCTATTTTGCATTAATATCTTGTATATATATACACTCATGCACATACATATGAGATAATTAAGATTGTTATGCAGCTAGTTTCTCTTAGTTCATTAAAAAGGAAGTTTTGTGCTAAAATTGTATGGACAAGATATCATGCCTATTTCTTATACTCTTGAGTATCTACTGGGAAGACAGTAGTGCACAATGTATCAGCTATTGTAACTGTCCTCATAACCTGTTTTGAAACCCAGTTTCATTGTTAGTTTCTCTCTCTCAAAAAAATTGTATATGATTTTAATTCCCTGCTCCCCCTTTCCTTCTCTTTCTAATATTCTCCTTTTGTGGGAAGTTGCCCAGAAAGGCCAGGCTTCTGTGTCTACATCTCTTTCACTTTGTAAGTCATACACTGATGTTCACACATCAAGATGGTAGAAAGTTGGGTCACTCTACTTATACTCATCACAGTAAAATTGGTGTTGCCTGTCAGCAAGCCTTGATATCAGCCAAATCCTATCAGCTCAGCACACACAGTAACTGATCTCTCCCTTCAGTTCTGCCCTTCACCATTTCTGCTGCAACATTCAATCCCAGCAGCATTATTTTTCCCATTCTCTGTAGTTCTGTTGTGTATGCTGCTGGCAGCAGCTGCTGTGATCCAGGGGTATCAGTTAACATTCAGTACTTGTCTAACTTGTCCAGTATTAGCCAGACTATCTAAACCTAAGCCACAGCTTGGTCAGGCTTTACTTTCTGTCCTGAATCAGTTAACAACAACCTGGAATGGTGCAGCATTTTTCACAGGCCCTGGCCTCCACCCTTGGCTACAGAAACCAGAACTGGGTTAGTTGGCTTTGTTTCACCTTTGTGGAGGATAAGCCAAAACTCTGTTTGAGTTGCATCTTTGAACTATACCCCCTCATCTTCCTCACCTCTTCTTCCCTATTTTGGCTTCTGCTCTGTAAGAGATTCTTGGGCATCAAAAAGAGTTATCAGTTAAATAAAAACTGCAAATAGCGCTGACCTTGAGCCATAGCTGATAGTCATTTTCCCTAGTGCTGGCCAACAACCAGAATGGCAGTATTAGACGGAAGAGATGGCCACTTTCTCTGACCCACTCTGCATATCACAGTTGTCACTCCATTTTAGCTATCTTTAGTATACTTCAGTGCCTTCATGATCCAAATGTGCTGCCATTTTGTGTCTTCCCATCTTTACCCCTTTCAATGATCCAAAATTTAAAGAATCTTGACAGTTTCAGCAGTTTTTTCTCAGCAATTAAAAATAGTGAAGACATGATGCATTTTAAATTGCTTTCGATGGCAGTGAATTTAGCAATAAAATTAATAGTGTTTGCTGATATAATTTTATGATGGCATTTTTTTCTCTTCCAGACATGGAGTTGGGTACTTTTTCTTCTTCCATTGCATCTAATCCTTGTGACAGGTCTGTTAGGTACATTTACTCTTTTCATTTCATGGTTGAAAAAAAAAAAAGAAGGCTCAGAGACATGAAACAACTTGCTCAGGTTGTGAGGTGGTGAGATGAGGCTTGTACCAATGCTTCTTAGGTCCAAGATCAGGACTGTTTTTCTTTAATACCACATTGTTATTTTTTCACCTGCTTTATTTACCTTTCCATTCTCTTTTTCTAAGAGGTATAGTACGCAATTTGGAATATAAAAATCATACAAGCCTCTTTATTGCTTCATTCAATGTCACTACCTCTTACTAGCCCTGGCTTTGCAAAAAGCAAGTGTGTAGCTACTAAAAAGGGATTTAAGACTTTCCTTTGGGGAATGAGCAGGGAGGAGGACTGTATCTCACCTTTGTACATGAAGTTGCTTATTTATACAGACAGAACTATGCAATGGGAGAATGTAGCTTAGAGGCCATGGTCCTACCTTCTAAAAGTCCGTGATGAAGCTTGCATGCAGGCGACTGGTTCCACCCAGTGGAATCCGTATTGGAGTAAGAGTAAGAATAAATCCAGTAGGAGCACATAGTAAGGAGCCTTTTAGTCTGCCTGGGCAGTGAGATATAAGTGGAGAGCACAGTACACAATGGATCATAGGATCTGTAGGCTAGTCCTATCCTTAGGTCCTTTCCTTGGTCTTGACTAGAGAGAAATAACCGTTTTTGGTAGGATGCTCTTGGGTTTGAAGGAAGGATTCTTCCAAGGTCTTGCATATTCATAGAGTCATCAATTCTCCACTGGGGTGACTAATGTTATGAGTGATGTTTACTTCTACTTTTTAAGTATTAGGAACAGACTTGCCTCTGCAGTAATGGGCGTTGCTGGCCATTATCCACACATGCTTGTCTGGACTCATTATGCTTTAACAATCTACTCCTTGGCTTTCCATTTTCTGCCTTTCTTGGAGCCCAATTTCAGATTGTTCCACAACGGTAATTAATGGGTAAGGTGAGTATAGAGGAATGTCATAGAATCAATAGATCATTCTAGAAGAGTGGAGAAATCTACAAGTGGAAACAACATCCCCTTACTCTGCACCCACAGGTTGGGTGTAAGAATGGATATGAGGAAAAGTGAAGAAAATTGCTTAAGGTTGAAGAGCAATGACTATCAGGTCCCAAGAAATCTGGAAATTCTTAAGATTCTTTGGTTACTGTAACTTGACAGAGAATAAGGAAGGGAGGGAATAGACTGGGCAGGAGAAAAAAAATCCAATTTGTAATATAATCCAAGTTATTAATGAAGATTAAGAAGAAATGGCCCAAAGCTCAGGCTCTGAAGTCTCCCAGATAGAAGTTTGAATCCTCACTCTCCTTATTCCTATCTTTAAAATTTCAGGCAAATCATAACCTCTCCAAGTCTTTATTTTCACATCGGTAGAAGAAGATAAGTGTGCCCATTTATTTGTCATCACAATGCTGTATACCTGGCACATTGTGGGTGCTTAGTAAATGGTAGTCTTTGTTCTGTTTTTGCAGGAGACTGTTACTAG